AGGGCGCTGGCTCGCGGCCACTGCAAGCTTCGGCCCCTGAGGACTATCGGGGTGAGTGTCCCCAGGCTTGTGCTCTGTGACGTCGGCCGAACTGGAGGATGTGACCTTCACGTCTCCACGAGGGGAGATGAGCACGAGGTGGGGAAGGTGTGGGCGATCTTGCATCCACCAGGGATGCGAGGGCAGGCCGAGGGGCAGCAGGGCTGCTGGCTCCACAGCTGGTTCCGCTGTCGCTGATAATCAGTGCCGCAGCAGGGCGTGGTCTCAGCACGGCATTTCCTGTGCACGTAACTGGGGGCCTGCAGCCAGTTGCTCAGGTCAGGGACTCATGGGCACGTTTCTTGAACGAGGGCACTGGGCTCCTCGTCGCCCGACAGGAAGTGGGCGAGGAGCCTGCTCCCCCTGACACAGGAAGCACAGCCGGCACTGGGAGCCCGGGTTCCTCGGCTCGGACCCTTCTCACCAAGCCCCCACTGCAGGCCCACAGAATCCCTTGACACACTGGGAGCACAGTGGGGACTCCTGAGTCACCTTCCTGCTTCTACTCCGGCCCCTGGAAGCCTGCTCCCACCCAGGCGCCCGACTGAAGGCGTACCTGGGCGCATGAAAGCCGATGCCTCCCGTGGTCCCCGACACAGTGAAAGCCCAACTCCCCACCAGGCTTCGAAGCGCCCAGTGGCCTTCACTGTCCCTCCAGCCTCAGCCCACACACCACACCTACTGCCCTCCTGTGGGGGCCCTGGGGCCGGGTGGCAGAGGCACCATCTATTCCTGCCTGTCTCTGGGTCCTGGGGACGGATGCTCAGGTGCCCCATGTCTGCGTCCACTGGACTAATGATGTCCACGGGCTTTGATTTTCCTCGCTTTTCTTCCTCTGGACGCAGAGAGACCAGGAGCTGCACTTTAGATGGCCGCTCCTGAGCTCTGAAGACCCTTGCTACTGCCACTGCCCACCAAAGAAAGGTGAAGACCATTGTCTGGGGGGCCTGGGGAATGCCAGTCGACCTTGATGTCCCCCCCACACTGTGATCCTGAGCCACCAGGTCCAGCAGCTCATTCCCCCGAGGTGTGTGGTGAGGCCTGAGGGGTTGTCCTAACTCCATCCTCTCTGTTCCAGGACCTTCCACCGTTCATGTGGCGCTTACCCCCAGGTACTCCGTGGTCAGGAGCTTCTCCCCCGAGAGCTCTCCAAGCTGGGGCTGGATCAGCTCGTCCTTGTCCAGATCGGCCTCCATGGTGTCATGGTCTTCCTGTGCCAGAGGGGACAAGGGTGAGCGCGCTGGACACCACGGGGGGGGGGGGGGACCCCCGGATGAGAAGGCCTGAGCCCACCCACAGGGACTCTGGAGCCCACTCTGGAGAGGACATGGGAGCTTTGCCCACAGCCACCCACCTGTCCACCACCCGGTCCCACAGCCTCAGGAGAAGACTCTAGAGCAGTGGTTCTCAACCTGTGGGTCGTGACCCCTTTGGGGGGGTCGAATGACCCTTTCACAGGGGTCGCCTGATTTATAAAAGTAGCAAAATGACAGTGATAAAGTAGCAACGAAAATAATTTTATGGTTGGGGGGTCACCGCCACATGAGGCACTGTATGAAAGGGCGGCGCACGGACGGGAAACTTGTGAGCCCGGAGACACAGGCCCCCCCTCCCCCCTCAGCAAGCTCTGGCTCTCACAGGTGTCCCCATAGGAGGCACACAGGCAGAGACCCGAGGGGCATCCTGCAGCTGACACCGGAAGGCAGATCGGCACAGTCAAGAGGGCCGAGCCTGAGATGTGTCCCAAGATGGGACAGCAGGGACGCTGACGAGCTTCGAGGAAGAGGCCAGGCTCAGACAGACAGACAGACACCGACCAGAGGAACCCTGCAGAGACAGTGGCCCTTCATCGCTTGCTCATCAGGCCTGGGGGTGAGCTCACCCCTGGGCCCCACGTTCAGCCAAACCGCAGAGGGGCCTCTCAGGTGGACGGTCGCACCCCAGCAGCCACGTCGGGCAGCAGTGTTTGTCCGCAGGCAGGCATTCTCGGAGGGGGGGGGACGGGAGGAGCAGAATGGGGGACAAAGGGGGGAAGGGGCAAGAGGGCTGTCGAAGCCCCCAGACAACGTGTCTGAGTCGCTGCATGGAAACCCAGTGCAGACTTGCGCCCAAAGTACACAGGCGGAGAAAGATGCTGGCACCCTGAGACACTAAGCCAGAAGACGGAGCCAGTGGCCGGAGGGCCGATTCCGGTGCCTCGGGACGACCCCACGTGCCAAGTGGAAGGGGCTCCCTTTGCGAGCACACTGCCAGGCCTTTCTTCCGAAGCGCCCCTACGTGGGTTTGAACAACTAGCTTTCCGACTGCTTGCTGCCCACGCAACACCCACACTGGCAGTGGGCAGGCACGGCCACCTCGCAGAGACCCCATAGGGCAGAACACAAGACTGGTCCCTGGGTTTCCGAGACAGCAAGTCTGTACAGCAGCAGGCTGCCACATCTCTGACCGGGGGCGGCTGGTGGATGTGGACCGCCGGGCCTTCCTTGCGGCTGGCAGCACGAGGCCTAACCTGCTGCGCCACCTGGGCTCTGTGCTAGGTATTCTAAAAACCTCACTGCCGTTGAGCCAA